TTAATTTTTATATATGATATGATGTAGAAGTTCAGCTTAATTCTTTTGCATGTAGATATGCAAAGTTATCTCAGCATCATGTGTTGCAAAGACAATTCTTTCCTCATTGATTTGTTTTGACAGCCTTGTCAAAAATGAATTGACTAAAAATATAAAAGTTTATTTCTGGACTCTCAGTTCTATTCCATTGATCTATATGTCTAGCTTCATGATAATATCACACTGTGTTTATTCAAATAAGGATTATGAATTGTCCAGCTTTGTTTTACATTTTCAGGTTCGTTTTGTCTATTCTTGGACCGTTGCATTGCCATATAAATTTTAGGATTACCTTGTCAATTTCTACCAAAAAAAGCCAGTCAGTATTTTGATTGGGATTGCATTGAATTTGAAATTAATTTGGGGAATATTGCCATCTTAACATTAAGTCTGCCGATTCATAAATGTGAGAAATCATTCCATTTATTTAGATCTTCCTTAATTTGTTTCAACAATATTTTTTAGTTTTAGTGTTAAGTCTTAGACTTTTTTTGTTAAATTTATTCCTAAGTATTTTTTGATGGAATTATGTTCTTAATTTCATTTTCAGATTGCTCATTGATAGTGTATTGAAATAAAATCGATTTTTGTCTATGGATCTTATATCCTGTAACCCTGTTGAACTTGCTTATTAGTTCAAATAATTTTTGTTGCATTCAGGGGAATTTTTTGTATACAAGATCATTTATACAAATGATGTAGTTGCTTAGAGGGAAATTTATTGCTGTAAACATCTATGTTTTTAAAAAAATCTCAATTCACTGATAGTTTAATTTCTTTCTTTTCCATCTAGATACCTTCTCTTTTTCTTGACTAATCTCCTGGGATAGAAGTCCTTTTTTTCTGTGAAATCAAAAGTAATGTCTCCTCTTTATTCCTGATTTTAGTATCTTGAGTCTTCTCTCCTTTATTTATTGTCAGTCTGTATAAAAGTTTGTAAATTTTATTGATCTTTTCAGATAACCAACTTTGGCTTCATTGATTTTTTCTATCGTCTCTCCCTTCTCTATTTAATTTATTTACATTCTAGTTTCCTTCAGTACATTGGCTTTGGATTTAGTTTACTCTTCTTTTTCCAGTTCTTAGTGTGGGATATTAGGTTATTGAGCTGAGATACTTTTTAACATAGATGTTTATAGCTATAAATTTCCCTCTAAGCACCGCTATAACTGCATCCCATAAGTTTGGTATGTTGTATTTTTATTTTTATTACTCTCAAAGTATTTTCTAATTTTCCTTGTGTTTTTTTTTCTTGATCAGTTATATAAAAGTATGTTGCTTAATTTCCACATGTTTTTGAAACCCCCAAATTTCTTCCTGTTATTGATTTCTAATTTTATTCCATTGTGGAAATCATACTCTGTATGATTTCAATCCTTTTAAATTTATTGAGGCTTGTTTTATGACTTAATGTTTGTTCCCTTCTGGAGAATGTTTCATGTGCACTTGAGAAGGATGTGACTTCTGCTGTTGTTGGGTGGCATGTTCAATAGATATCTGTTAGGTACAGCTGGTTTATAATGTTGTTCATGTCTTCTATTTCCTTGTTGATCATCTAACTGTTCTACTCATTATTGAAAGTGAGGTATCAGCATTTCAAACTATTATTATTGAATTGTCTAGTTCTCCTTTCAATTCTGTCCGCATTAACTTCGTGTATTTTGGGCCTCTGTTGTTGGCTTCCCGATGGATTGACTCCTTATCATTGTAAAATGCTCCTATTTGTCTTAAATAACAATTTTGTCTTAAAAGTCTATTTTGTCTGTTTTTAGTATAATCACTTTAGTTGTCTTTTGCCAGTGTTCTCATTGTTTTTATGAAGGTGTCCATTTTCAGATGCGTTAGCCAACAATTCCGAAAAGTAGAACCCGTAATAACTTAAACACTCTCATAGATTAACTAATAACTAAAACACTCTGTTTTTAGAACTGCATTTTCCTTTATTTCCAAAGTTGCCATTTGGAAATGCTTTGGTATAGGTAGCTTTGTTACTTCAATTCTTAAGTTAGCTTAGATCTGCTAAGTTATAACCACGGGTCTTTCTGCTGTCCACCTTCCAAAATTTTGTAACTGTAAACTTCTTTTCTGTTATCTTTGTTTTTTACATTAAAAAAAAGTCTTCACTCATATCAATGGCTTTTCCAAGGCAAGAGAACATAATGAGTAGGTTAAATATTTAACCTTTACTTGAGGGTAAACCCTTTAACTGCTACCTGCTTTATTCTAACAGGAATTTTCTTGCTCTTATCCCATTGCCCCCAGCTTGTGGCCACTCCTCTATTTTCTCCATGACAAACTACACCATGACAAAAGACAAAGTCTGCTTAGTGAAGCAACTCCTGGCATCAGAATTGTGATTCTATTCAAGGAAAATAAAAGGAATGAAGTGATTCTTCATAAAAAAAAAAAAAAAAAAAAAAACAACCTTAAACTGAAGCCCTGCAAATGTATTTTTATGTGGAATTTTAAAATGGTTGGGGAGTATATCTGGGGTCTAGAGAAGTCAGTCCTTATGTAATTTTATGAGAAGCACTAGGTTGAATATTGCTAAGGCAGCAGGATCTAGGCAATTTGGTGAGGGAGGCACTTTTCCACAGATTTCAGTTATCTCCTAGGATCCCCCTTTTCCATATTGCAAGTCTAGGAAGGCAGGTCTAAGTCACATAAGCTGAGGGTCAGACCTAGTGGCTGCTTTGAGCCACAGGTAGGAGGAGCCCAGACTTAAGGCCGTTCCTCTGGGTTATTTCTATGTAGCCGTTTGAGGATTCTGCCAGAATTATTTCACGTTTGGCTATGTTTTTGTGTTTTGTGTGTGTGTTGTGGGGGGGCTTGTTGTCATTTTTCTCAGAATGTTCTTCTGTAGTATGGTTGCAAATATTGAGAAATAAAATATTGTGGCTACAAAGGATACAGGTAGTTGGGAGGAAACCAAGAGAAGCGAGAACTCAAAACCTTGCCCATATGAGGCTGCCTTTCAGACACTTTTATTAACATAAAATGCAATGCACCTGGATACGTCCTGCTATCACTTCAGAAAGCGAGGAGCTGGAAAGAGAGGAAACAGTCTAGCTAGGAAGACATGAGAAAGCAAGTTAGGAGGCTAGTTTTACTTCTAACCTGTCACTTCATTTTTTAGGCCTGTTGTAGTTATTTTTTTTTTAATCTATAAAATGATGGTTTCATTTTAGATAATTCCCAAAGGTGTTTCCATCTTTGGTATTCTTTGATTTTTTTTTTTTCCCTAGGTCACCTCTTACATCTTTCGGTCAGCCAGGGTAAGAAACTAAGTCTCCTGACTTCTAAGGTAGAGCTTAGGATGTAGAGAAGATTCAATCTTTCCTAAACCATGTGGTCCCAGAGGCTCCATGTTATTTCCTGGTAGCAGTTTCAGTGGCTTTGGAGAAGGAAATTCATTGCCATGTGACAGTCAGGCAGCCACATTGGGGAAAATATGATGTATTGTCTTGTGTAGGAAAAAGCCAGTATTATCCAACCCAGTAATCAGATTTTCAGACAAAAGTATGACCCTGGAACATGCTGTCTGTGTCTTGTCTCAAAAAGAGTTTTTTTTAAAAAAAAATCAACATGTACTTGGCTTGTCTGTCTCTTTTGGATACGGAAATACATCTCACCTGGAATTTTTTTTTTTTTTTTTTTTTTTGAAGGTGACTAAACTGCCCTGGAGATATTAGTTGTAGCAGTAATTAATTTAGCATTTCTTGAGCACCTACTGTGTGCCAGGCTCTGTGCGAAGTGATAGAAATATAGAGAAACACTCTGAGGTAGGTGAATACATCTAGTGGGGAGAGGGGAGAGAAAGGCCAAAAAAAAGTGCCAATATTCATTTATCCATCCCTCCTTTTATTCCTCAGGGCTTTGTTGAGCATTTTCTCTGTTCCTAGCTCTGTCCTGGGGACACAAAAGGAAGACAGACATATTCCTGTGGTCCCTCAACACCATGCTTCGGTGAAGCTTGGTTAATCCTAGTGAAGGCCAGATCAGCCTGTGATGGGTCGGTTGTACAGATGAGATCAGGATCCATGGAGGGCTTCCTGGAGGAGGTGACCTGGGAACTAAAACAAAGTAGAAACGGGCGCCAACCAAGTGAGGCAAAGGCAGAAGGAACAGTTAAACAATGGCTGGACAGAGGATGGGTATAGTTTGGTATAGAGCATAGACTTAAGAAAGATGGTAGGAAAGGAGACTATAAAGGCAGGCAAGGTTCAGCTCTTGAAAGATGTTTTCTCCCTTGCTTAAGACTTTGGGCTTCAACCTAAAGTGATGGGGAAAACACTGAAATATCTCATAATGGAGGAATTATTATAGGAAACTCCAGCCATTTAAAAGAATATAAAAATGATATAACTGAATAGATTTTAAGTTTCGAAAAAAGCAGAACATTAAAATTGTGTGCTCACTGTGATTGCTGACCTATAAAATATAATTATGACTATGGCAAAGTATGGGAGAATATCTAAAAGTAGAGTCTAGTATTTACATTGTGAGATTCTTTAGGAATTCCTTTGTAATGCTCAGCATTGAATCTCTACTATATGCCAGTAAGATCAGGCTACAATCCCTTCCCTCTACCATTAAATATGGAGAGATCTAATAACACTCATGTAGTTTTAAAAAGTATGTGGTTATAAAATGTCCAGAATAGGCAAATCCATAGAGACAGAAAGTGGATTGGTGGTTGCCAAGATCTGGGGGATGGAGGGAATTGGGAGGGACAGCCAACAAGTCCAGGGTTTCTTTTTGGGGGCCATAGAAATGTTCTGGAATTGGTTAGTGGTAATGGTTGTACAACATTGTGAATATACTGAAAAACACTGAATTTTACACTTTGGTTAAAATGGTTATTTTTATATTATGTGAATTTTGTCTCAATAAAAAATACAGGAAAAAAGATGCTGATAGTTTTTTGGTTTTTTTTGTTTTTGTTTTTGTTTTTTTGGTAGTAAAGGGCAATCGGAAATGTGAGTTGAACTGCCAGGCAATGGGGTACCGCTTCTACGTGCGGCAAGCTGAGAAGGTCATTGATGGGACGCCCTGTGATCAGAACGGCACGGCCATCTGCGTGTCCGGGCAGTGCAAGGTAAGTGCCCCAGGACTGGGGTCCCATGGTGGATTCTCGGGGTGTTTGAGCTCTGACTACCTACACCTCTGTTTGCCAGACTGTGGCCTGCTACTGCCTCCACCCCCAGCCCATGGGCCCTCCGGAACCATGAGCTCTGGGAGAAGTGGAAGAAGACTAAGCAACTTGGTCCGCTCTGTTTTTGATCTTTGGGAGTCGCCATATCTCACTCTGGCATATCAGTTGCTAAGTGATTTATGTTTACACCACGTGCTTCAGAAGGGACACAGTGATCTTTGTTCATTGGGTCTGGAGCTCCTCTCTTACCACCAAAGTCGAGGTTATGGAAAGGCCACCGCCGAATCAGTCCAGAAATGGGTGGCGTCGCGAGGGTGGCATTTTAAGGGCATGCGTATTTTATCTTGCCTCCCACCAGATGGGGCAGGCTTCCAAATGAAAGTCGTCTTGTGCCTTTTATAGCAGAAGTTGTTCTTTAAACAGGAAGAGTTTTCAGGCTTCTTGGACTTCTGAAGTGTGTTCCAGAAACTCCCCACCCAGCATTCTGCAAACATTCTGGGCTTGAGAGAATCCTTGTGGGGCACTAACCTTTGACAGAAAACATCATTTGGTTAAAAATAGGCGTCTTAGATGAGATGGCACAAATCCCATAGCCACATTAACTTGGGCCTGGACTTCCACCCTCCTTTCATCTATAAATGGAATAGTGGAGCTAAGACTGTAGCAGGTAAATGACTCTTGAAGTCCAGACTGAGATTCTATCTTAATTAATGCTCAAGAGCTGGCAGGACTGATTTTCATTAAAGGAAGAACGCTTTGGCTATCACATCTGAAAGTTCCTGTTAATACTTTGAATGTAAATTGCCACAGTGTTTAGTATTAGAGCTATTCGAATGTGATTTATAAGCACAATCTTCTTTCTCCAACCTTTTTTAATGAGGCGGTTTCAAATAGGATACAAAATAACTTATCGAAGCAACATGGATAGTTTCAAATTTTGAATGAAAATTAAGAAAGGAAAAGCTATCATTTAATACCAGTTGAGGTATGTGAGATGTCTTTGGAAGAGCAAAACCCCCAAAGAATTAAGAGGCAGCATAGAAGAGGCAAGGGGCATGATGGGAAGTGCAGTGGAGTCTGAGACCTGTCTGGCCTCCAATTTTCCACTCTTTTGGAAAGAGCATTGGGTTTCACACATTCCCTCTGAGCCTCATCATCTTCAGATAATACCTGAGGGAGTTTCATTAGAGCTTTGTGGTGTCCAACTGGTCTCTGCTTAAAAATGTTACCAAGCCTGAACTAGTGATCTTAAGCAACCTAGCTTTTTTTTTTCAGATCCCGAATGAACCGTTTTATCTCTCGAATACAGTTGTCCACTGCTGGGAGGTGGTAGAGTGTAATGGTTGAAAACATGCCCTCTGAAGTCAGACTGCCTGGGTTCAAAGTCTGCCTCTTCTGCCGATTTGCTGTGTGGTCTTGCACAATCATGTAAGCTCTCTGGGCCTCTGTACTTCATCTACAACACAAGGAGGGTGGTACCTATCTCAGGAATCACGAGCTAATAATAGGTCTGCACTTAGTAAGCATGCCGGCGTTCATTAGTATTATGATCGTTTATGCCCACGTATGTCCTGTTGTAGTTGAAGTTTTAATTGCTTTTTTTTTTTGTAGATTGTAGATCTGTGAGATTCACATCATCTTTGAGATGGGTTCTCTCACTGTAGTGTGACTCACCAGATTCTGATTTGACAGGTCTGGGGAAGGGCGGCAGTCTGATTTTCTAAGCTCCTATGTGATGTGGGTGCTGCTGGTCTATAGTTTGTGTAGTAGAGTTTTAAAGGGCACTTTGATTAAAACATGATTAGCAAAGAACCAGAAATGTAAATACAGAGTGGCGAAATGACTTGGAAGGAAGATGAAATGTGGTCTATTTCCACTGGGCAAGCATGTTTTCTTAGTGTTGCATTAAGTGTCTCTGAGCTGATGATATGAAAGAAAAAAAACACTTGTAAGGACGTGGATATGGATTCATACTAATCGATGAAAACCATTCAACCTGTAGGGCAATACAGTTTGAGAATGATAATTGCTAAAAGTCTTAGACAGACATTCCCAGGACGTGAGTAGATCAATAAGAATTTGATGTCGCAAGGACGACTTTGATATTCCATCACGTTTGTTTTCTGTGCTTTTGCCTGAAGTTCACTCATTGAAGTTCTTCGAACCACTGACTCTCTTTAGAATTTCAGTTTAAATAATCTGAAGTAAGCATTGCTTCCCAGGCTGAGGCTCTGTTTACTTTGCAGCTTTCAAAGGGTAAAGTGTCCTTTCTGAATATTTGATTGGAAGCCCAGAATTCAAATCGATGTCTCTGCCTGGCTGACTTGTGGCTAAGAGAGCTGTCACTCGTCAACATGAGTGTCTGCATCTGAAATAGTTCCAGAAAGCCTCTGCTTGCCACATAAAGTCAAAGAGCAAACCCATGCCTGCAACAAAAGTTAATGAAAGGTGACAAGCATTAAATAGGAACAAGAGTGAAACCCACAAAAGAGTGGCTAGGCGAGAAGGGCGTCCTCCGACACTAAGCCAGAGAAAAGACCAGGCCCACCCAGCATAAGCTGGAATGCTCTGTTCCAGCACCCGGCAGAGCATTCCCTAGCCAGCCTTTGTTTACCCTCTTGCTGGCACTCCTCTGTGTTTAAGATTCAAGAGTTGGAAGAGATGCAGGAGGAATGCAGACATTCTTGGGCTGGGTGCTAGAGAAAATAGGGGTACCCCTCTAGTGCCTCAGTGCTGGATGACACTTCCTTTCTTGACAAGGATTGAAAGATTCCAAATGTTGGCCTCAGACTGAGGACTGCATGTAGATAGGCTTTAAAGAGAAGCGCTCTGGCCCTGTCTTTTCCTAAAGAATGTATCTGAGGTTCGCAGATTCTGCCTTCCTCCTCCCGACCCTTTCCCTCCAGACATCAAATAGGACCGCCTGGCCAGTCTTCAGAACAGTCCCTGAGACACTTCCAGCCCTGCCCAGTCATAATTATCATTTATGGGAATGAAATAGCATTTATGTCTAATTAACAGAGATCACAGTAATGGTTTCTTCGATTATTAATCATCATGTTAACTGTGCTGTGATTCTTTTAACTTGATACCGTCTTTAACTCTGAAAATATTTGAATTTTTATAGTTTGATGTGTATTTATTATTTTTGCTAACAAATAAATAAAAATTAATGAAATTTTGCCTTCAGATATAGTAGGCATTTGCAAGAACAGGGTCACTTGGGTAAAGACTACTAAAAAAAAAAAAAAAAAATCTTTGCTTCCTGGCGACCAGCCTTTCAGGAACCTCAGGCTTCCAGACCTGAAAGATGCTGAAAGAGTCAGAATCACTCCAAGACCCACCCTTCTTGCTCATCTCCCTCAAAAGTCTTTGGTGGAAGGAACAGTCCTTATAATGCAGAGGCTGATGCAAAACCTGAAAGGAACAAGGTGTTGGAGCTGATGCAAGCTAGCAAGGAACCATTTCTGAGAATTTACCACATGCCAGACACTGTGCTATGTGCCTTACGTACAAACTTATGTCATCATTTCATTTGTCTCCACAGTAACTCAATCAATAGGAATTATTAGTCCCATTTTATAGAAGACTGTTGAAAAGATGAAATGACTTGGACGTACTAAGTGCTACATAGGGGTTGACTATTAATATTGACTTTTTAGGACACACTATTAATCAGAACAGAAAGAGTAGTTTACACATGATGGAGAGAAGCCCATGTGCTTTAGGTCTCCCGTACTCTGAGTTTATTTTCCTCACTACCTCTTTCCAAAACAGATTGTCTTTCCAAAACACACATCAGGACATGCCTCTTCTTTGCTTAAATTCCATCTGTGGCGCCCCATTGCCTATGGAATAAAGGCCAGGCCCTTCATCATGTCTCCTGCCAGGCCTCCCTAAAGCCACCAGTGCTGGCCAGGCTGGGACATGTTACTCCCTGACCCAGCAGGCCTGCAGGGTTTTGCCTCCACGGGAATGTACACACTGTCCTGTCAGCCTGGAGTGCTGTCTATGCCCACTCCTGGTCCACCCCGTGGACTCTGCTCATAAGCAATTGGCTACCCTCTCGTACACTGTTCTATTCTTCTGTTCTCATTTCCTGAAACTATTTGTTACCATCGCCCCCGCCTGCCACCCAGCCACCCTGGGAGAAATCCCTGGCACTTTGCTTTAGCAAAATGCCTACCCTTTGAATAGGTGCTTAAAATAAATGAGTACATGAATTAAGGTACTTGGTGACTCAATCTATTGGATTTCAGCAAATGAAATTAGTCTTGAATGCAGCACAGAGTTTTCTCATTTTGGGCTGGGATGGACAGTTGAGTACAGATAAAACAAGGACTCGAAGGCCCCTGCCAAATCCCCAGAACCCAGTCTTGGAATTGGGGAAGCTTGGCACCCCCGAACTCCAATCTTGTTTCTAATTTTGCTCACTCTGAATCTCCTGAGTCCCTTCAGAGCTAATAACAGGAAGAACCCAAGCGAATGTGAGAGTGCGTGCGCCGTCTGTTGTGGGGGAAGAGCCCCTTTCTGCCCAGCACACTTCCCTCTCACCCCCAGTCAGCCATCACCTTCCATGCAGGGCGTTTCCAGCAACCCACCTTCCGCCCACACTCTGCAGGGCCTTTCGCACCTCCTCCCCCAGCTGGGACACATCAGCAGACCATTTCATATTTATTCAATAAGTTAAAACAAGGTAACTCTTTCCAAATGTTCAGAGATAAGCTCTGGACCCGCGTGTGGCCCCGACCAGGAAGGATGACTTAATGGGTGTGTGCATCTGTGTGCGCTTGTGGGTGTTCAGATGCCGAATTTTCATCATCCTTCCTTATAAACTGCTATTGCGCTGTCTGGAACCAAAAAGGCAGACCCTGCTCATTTCACTGCTGGTTTACCCTAAGTTGCTTTTTTTTTTGGTTTTGACTGTCAGCTTTATTTTGTGG